AACATGAAAGACTCTCGCAAACTATAAAACACTGAAAACACCGGCTACCACTATGTAAAATTTCTCAGTATGTGACAGCCTACGCCCCCATTTCCTCTCTCTTTCTTTTCCTGTATTGATCTTCTCTTCTTCCTGTGGTGGCTTCCTCCTCCTCATAGGCTCCCTCTACTGAACATCTAGCAAAGAGGGACCCAGCAGTAAGTTTTTGCGTGGAAACACCTAGCCGTCTCTCTCCCTTGCATAAAGCCTACCTTCTGCTTGCTATTCAATGTATTATGCTCTTTCCAGGGATAGTTCAACTTTAACATAAAATCAGTGCCTTAATAATGCAAAGGAATATCTCTCTAGGAGTCATCATCAACACGCTGGTAGGACAGGTGGTCCCACTGCCTAATGGAAGACTCTCAAGGTTTTCACTTCTGTGGGTGATAAAGAAAGGGACCTCAGGCACAGTACACTCCCAAGAACAAGTATTTAATAGAGGTCTAACTTCCACAGACTTATTTTAACAACACTAAGAAGGCCACTGGGATCTCCTGGCTCCGGTTTTTCCATACATCGAGCCTTACTTACTTGCACTCTCTGCAAATTAAGTGGCTATTTCCCCATCAAGAATTTCCCAGCCATGCCCATGTTTCATGTGAAAGCCCCTGGAAATGTAAACAGGGTTGTCCTGCCCTTGCCCCCTCTGACTCTTCTGCAGACACCACCCTCATTTCCTCCTTCCACCTCACCTGAGCCTACCAGGCTCTCTCACCACCCTGTTCACACTCCCTGTTCACGCTCTCTTTGGGATGCAAGGATGTCTTTCTTGAAGTGTGGTGTCTAGGACAGTATATAGCTCAGGTGTAGTCCACTAAAGATTATCAAAGTTCAGATCTCCAGCAAACAGGGAATTCCATCAGGATTTTTCCACACAGGAAGTAGATCTTTCCTTGCCAAACTTCCCTTTCTTATAAATCTCAAATCCTGAAATGAGTCAATTATATACAAGGTCTTCTGTGTATTATAAAACACTCCTTCTATTTTTTTTCTCCATCTACAGCTATTGTGGTTTGAATGAAAATGGACCTCACAGGCCCATAGGGAGTGGCACTATTAGGAGGTGGCTCTGTTGGAGGAGCTGTGTCACTGGGGGTGGGCTTGGAGGTTTCAGATGCTCAAGCCAGGCCCAGACTCACTCTCTTCCTGCTGCCTGCTGATCTCAGCTAGCTCTCCAGCACCATGTTTGCCTGCTTGCTGCCATGACGATAGCAGACTAAACCTTGAAACTGCAAGCCAGCCCCAATGAAATGTTTTCCTTATAAGAATTGCCATGGCCATGGTGTCTCTTCATAGCACTAGAAACTAATTGAGACAACAGTAGTCATATATAAGATGTTAACAGTTATAAAACACTATGTATTTCTATCATGATAGTCAGAAAGGTATACAATGGACTCAGTCAAACATTTTGTTAACCATGTTATTAAGTACAAGAGATACCATGTTTTATTTCTTAAGAATGCTTCATTGTATACCATTAATGTGGAAAGCATATTGTGTTTAAATAAAATGTACTGTAGTAGTTGAGTCCTAAAAATCCTGTTGGGAAATCAGAATGAATAATCTAATGCAGATATAAAAACTTACACTTGGAAGCAGAAGATAATATGAACTTCAGTTGGTAGAGTATTTGCCTAGCATGCATGAGGTCCCAGGCTCAATCCCCACCCAGCACTGCCAAAACAAAACTACCTCAAGTAGCTTCTGACCTTGTATCTCTGAAACAAAGAACTCAGTCCAACAAAAACCTTGAGGTGGGTAATTTATAGTTTACAAGGAGAATGTGAAAGCACCTGGAGGCCCTCTGAGGCTCTGAGGCCACTGTGTGAAGACTAACAGGCACTCTGGATAAAATCATAATGGCATTATGACAAGTGCTCCCAGGGCATCAAAAGCACTTTCTCAGAAAAGTTTGCAAATAACAGGGTGAGGGGAGCAGGGTAGAAGTTAAAGTGTTTGCTTGTGGGCCAGAGTTCAAAGCCTCAGACACCATGTCAGTGCTGGGTGGGCAGAGAGCCCCAGAGAGACCAAGCAAGCTGGCTAGCAAGACTAGTCATTTCTGAGTGCTCTTGACAGAGAGACCCTGCCCCAATGAAGAAGAGCATATATGCACATCACATACACAAGAAGAGCGGATAAGGGGGTTAAAAAGAAACCAAAAATCCTTGCAATGAATGACATTTTGGATTAGAATCTAAAAATCTTGGGGTTTCCCCATAATTTCTTAGTCTGAACAGTAAGAAATTAATTTGATCCTGAAATGTAATCTGAGGGACATACTGGATAGAGGATCAGCATGGATCAACTCTGAACTAGCGTTAAATGAGGTTTGCCTCTGATGTTAACACACCAGCTCGGGTTGCAAGAAGTTTTCAATGCAGCACCATGCTGGCTGGCAGCAGAGAGAGGCAGAAAACAGGATGGTCACCACAGAGAGTGTTCTGGATTTCTCCGAGGTGTTCAAATACCACAGAAATAAACTCACAGGGATGGAAAGAACCTCCACTGCGCTTCATAAGGAGATTTAAAAATAGTGTGACCAGACTTCCAAATATTGTTAGACCATGCTTTGTAATATGATTAGCCTTGACAGTGGGAAAAACTACACAAGAAGTAGGAACAATTACAAGGCTAACAAGATGGCTTAGCAGGTAAGGGCACTTGCCACCAAGTCTGATGCATGCAGGCACATGGGCACTCTAGTATTTGCTTGCATGTGAGGGCACACACCACACATCACACCACAAAACATGCACAAATAAACAAAAGCAGCATTTTAAAAGTCAAATTACAGAGTAAAGTAAGAAAGGAGCAACTGCCAAGTGGTAAGTGCAAACACTGAAGATTACCAAGCAGTCAGTTGAGCTCCTCAGAAGGATCGTTAGATGACACATTATAGCACATTTTCAAGTCACAGACAGGCTCCTTGCCTTGGGACTTGTCCAGACTCTCCTACTCTACTTATGCAGATGGACTGTGAAATCATTTCATGATTACCTTAAACCAAACAGTGTCAAAAGCTAAGGGTCTGAGTTCCTAAAGATCTGAATGCATCAAAACCCAAGCTGTAGTAGGGCAGTGGTAGCACACGCCTTTAATCCCAGCACTTGGAAGGCAGAGACAGGTGGATCTCTGTGAGTTCGAGGCCAGCCTGGTCTACAGAGAGTGCCAGGACAGGCTCCAAAGCTAAACAGAGAAACTGTATTTCAAAAAACCAACCAAACAAACAAACAAAAAAGCTGTATTGTTTCAGCTTAATCTATGAGTAAAAAACAAACAAAAACCTCAGCCGTCTTACATATACTGTTTGACCAGGACCGAAAAGGAAAGCTGAGCCGATTATGAATTCTGACATTTTTTTCCGTGTTATTTCTGTTAGGAGAAGCATTTGTAATCCTCTACACATGTCACCTACTATAAAAAGAAACAGCACCTAAACAAGAGAATCCCCTTCCCCCGACACCTGTCATAACTACCCCAGTAAAAAGCATGAGGGAGGGGTGGATTTCAAAACTGTTCCAAAAAGCTGAACTCAAACCACAAGACTGTTTTTCAAAAGTCAGAAGAAACCAAAGGAAACCAAACAGACACAGTGGCACACCCATTTAATACCAGCACTCTGGAGACAGGGGCAGATACATCTCTGAATCCAGCCTAATCTACACAAGACCAGGCAGGACTGCATACTGAGACTCTGTGTCCAAAAAAATTTTTTTATATGTTATAAAAACAGAAAGAAACACCCCCCCCAAAAAAACCAACCTCAAAACAAAAGAAACAAACTACCACAACAAAAGGAAGTCTGTGTTGCCAGGGATGCAGAACTGCACCTGAGGATTACGTAGCCCTTCCTCTTCCTCCAGACAATCTTAAGAGAGCGTTCCTTCCTGTACTTACGTTTAGTCTTCTGGAGAGAGGTGCCTCAGAAGGATTGCAGAGTGTGTTTGAACAGGGTGGGCACTTGGTTTCATCTATCATCATGAAGGTATCATAGACACCATCCCCCAACCTAGTTGGGTTACAGATAAAACCGGTCAGTAACTAAACAAAATGAGCTTGCAGTTTCCAAACACCCCAGGCCTTAACTGTTTCTCAGCCCTCTGACACTGCACACAAATAAGTGTGCAGGGAACAGAAGGATCTCAACCTTTCGTCTCCATTTTTATATTTTCGGTTGGGAGCCTGGCCTTTACTGCCTGAGCCATCTCTCCAGCCCTCTTTTCCATTTTTAAAAATTAATTACAAAGCCCTGGCTGTCCTGGAACTCACTCTGTAGACCAGGCTGGCCTTGAACTCACGAAGATCTGCCTGCCTACACCCTCTGCACCATCACGCTTGGCTCCTTTTTCTTTTCAAAGAAACGGAACTGTTTCTAGACTCAAATTTTAAATAGTTACAACAGGATGGGTGTGGTGGTGCATGCCTTTAACCTTAGCACTCGGGAAATGGGAAGGTGGATTTTTTGTGAGTTCAAGGCCAGCCTGGTCTATAGCGTGAGTTCCAGGACAGTCAGAGCTACATAATAAAGAGACCCTGTCTCTAACAAAGCAATAAGTAAATAAAACAGTTGCAACAAATCTTACTTCCTGAATGTTGTTTAAAAAAAATGAGGGCCATCAATTAGCATAGTACTTGAAAAGAAAGGTCAATTTAAATAGGAAACTGGAAATCAGAAGAGAATAAACACAACAGAAGTGTTTGTTGTCTCTGGACTTGAATTCTAATCTCAGCTCAACCGGGTGCTGCCTTCGCCTCTAGACTGGCTCACAGGTTAACCGGAAGAAAAGGTCTTGTCCACACTCTCTGACAAACAAGAAACATTTTAGGGCCGTCTTATTTCCCTACACACCTACTGACAGCTAACCTAACTTGTGAAAAAGGCAGTCAACAGCAACCAGATGCTTTAAGTTACAAACTGTACTGAATCTTCTGTTCCCACTTTATTTCCTGGAAGATGAGGGTTGTTTAAAATGCTACAGCAGTACAGATCCAGCCTGTTCTTACACTATGAATCCACCACTGTGAAGTCACACAAACAATGGGCAGGATCCACAAGATGGCCTTGAATAATACATTTTATCTGCTACCGAGCTATGGGTTTCCTGATCGCACACATCACCGTTTCAAGCTGTCGTCTCAAATGATATACTACGAACACAATCATGACTAGGTAACATTTTTCATTGTCTTTAAAAAATATCTTTTAATATTTCAGTGACTTTTAAGATCTGTCTTATAAAATTAGTTCTGGAGTTTAAACGGAATAAAAGGGGGCTTAAAAAACACACACTCAAAAAAAAAAAAAAAAGAAACATCTTAAGAACTGTTCACGTTCGGACAATGTCTCGATAACAGAAGCCAATTTTTTTTTTTCTGGATGGGACTGGCCTCTGTCACAACACCATATGAATCCCACAGGGACCGGCACCGCATCTGCAGAGCAACCACCAGATGCGAACAACCCGAAAGGGTCCTCATCCAGCGCTGGGTGCGAAAAAGGGGGTCCCCACAAAGCCTGGCGACGAGTGGGGAGCAAGCTCCCCGGGCTCTGCTGGTCTCTCGGAGCAACAGGGCGCGGTTCACGGGTCCTGTGCACAGGTCCTCGGCGTGCTCCCAGCCCCGGCTCTCCCGAGGCTGCGCCTCCCCCCCGCCCCCTCCCTTCCCGTTCACCCGCGCTGATGGACAGGCAGCCCGGACCCGCAATGAGTCCTCCCGCTCCCACCCGGGCGCCGTTACCTCCGCTGCTGCGGCGGGAGCCAGGCCCCCGGCAGCGCCGCGTCCTTCCTCCCACGCCCGCGGGCTGCGCCTCCCATCGCGAGCTCGCCCCGCGGGCACGGCAACGGCGGTTGGCCGGGACGGTCGCCACCAGCACCGCACCTCCCGGCCACGCTACAAGCGGCGGCTCCGCGCTCCGCTCGCGCCGCGGGTAGGGAGACCGCGCGGGAGCGGTCCCGTCGCCTAGCAACCGCGCACGCCGCGCCGCGCCTGCGCAACCGCCGCGGAGAGGGCGGAGCAAGGGGGCATACTGCTCATGGTAAGTGCTTTTAGATCGTTTTTGTTTTTGTTTTTGTTTTGGTATAAGAGGAAACTGAGGCCCAAGAAGCTGCGTTTCTTCGTACTCATCTAGCAGTGAAACCAAGCCTGGAAGTATCTGCAGCGCCCGTTGGAAAACTCTGTCTTTAATATAAGAAAGCGTACCTCACCCTTTCTGAAAAGTTCAGTATGGGAAACCGATTTCGACTGTTAGAGTGGAGTGAAAAGGAAGGTGGTTAAGCCACACACGAGGTGGTGGTTGTGGTGTTGAGCATGGAACCCATCAGATTTTCCAAGGCTGCAACACAGTGAGTGTTGGCTCCATCAGAAAAACCAGATTCTTCCACAAGTCGGACGCGCACGCCACCTGGTGTGCGCTGGAAGTTATTTCGAAGAGCATAAGTTCATAAATCTTGGAATTTCTACTCAAGGCCCTTTCTGCATTCCTAAAAGTCATCGTCCCAGTTCTCGTCTCTGTGAAGATTCACACTCTCTTGACAGCTAGGAATCCGTCCATTTTGGGACACTTTTTCTTATGGTCAGTGTTGTTTTAGCCTGTCTGTGATAAAAATAAGAATGCTGTCTTCCATGATGACCTTTTAAAGTTTCTGAACAGCTTTTTCTTTCTGCCTCCCCTTCACCCACAACCACTGCAGTCTTGCTTCCGTGGGGGTTTTTATTTGTGCTCTTTGAATCTTTTGTTTGAGGACAGAGTTCCATGGCAACAAGAGGCTCCTCCCAGCTCCAGGACTACAAAATTCTCCTAGCTCATCTTGCTCTTGAACACCTCGGACTGCTTTACTGTGGGAAAGAGTTGAATGGAACTTGCCTGCACATGTTTAATTACCTCGTTGTGAATCACTGCATCTTCCCTTCTGCCTGTAAGACACATCTTCCGAGCCAAGCTGACGAGTTGCTGCGCGGTCCCGCTCTGCCTGGTGGGGAGTGGATACAGAGGCCGCCTTTGTCTTTAGCCCGTTATTTCCATGGTCAAGGGAGGGAGAGCTCCTTGTGGGTGCTGGACTTCATGAATCTGTGACCTTAGTACCTAAGTACCTCTCAGTATTTCTTCCAAGGACCCTGTTTTGTAACAACCACCACACCCTCACCAAAGAACTGCCCTGTGACCCCCGCTATTGAGAAGCCTCATTTAAGTGTAGCTCAACAGTCACTCCAGCAGCACATATACAGAAATTGAAGCAATACAATCCTTATCCTTCGGCTTCTGCCCAAGGATAAAGTGTTTCTTGTTTTTTACATATTTCAATATGTAAAAGGTATATTTGATAAATGTTATATTAAAGTAAGTAAAAGAAGGATATGAAGCTGAGAGGATAAAGTTTTGAGGGGGTGAGAAGTGGGAGGAGGAATTTTGGTTGAATATAATCAGATTCAGTGGATAGGGCTGGAGAGATGGCTCAGTGGTTAAGAGCACTGGCTGCTCTTGCAGAGGTCCAGGCTTGATTCCCAGCCCCTTCGTGGCAGCTCCCAACAATTCATAACTCCAGCTCCAAGGGGTCCAATGCCCTCTCCTGACATCCGAGAGTACCAGGCACACATGTGGTAGGTACACCGCTATACAGGTGAACACACTCATGCACATAAGATAAATCTAAAATGTTTTCCTAAGGATAGATTGGATACATCTATGAAGTTAGTGAATAATAAATTAGAATATTTTTTTAAATAAATGAAGAGTTTGGTTCAAAATCACTGTTCTCTCTCTCTGAAAAGCTAAAACAAGAATTACCTACCATGGACTAGCTAAGTTATCTGAGATGTTTGCCTGTCTTTTGAAGACAGTTCAGGAAAACTGAAGAGCCTGTAATAAATTTTTTAAATGAAACTATCCCAGGATCTTAGGGGGAACAATAGAGGAATTTGGAAATGTTGCTCAATAGTATAATATCTGCACAGCATGCAGGAGGCCCAGGCTTTCATTTCCAGTACCACAAAAACAAGTGAAAAGTGGCTATTCAGTATATGACCACAGCACTTTCAGAGGGACAGAGTAGAAAATGCCCCCTGTGACCACTCAGTTTTAGATTTGTGATAAAGCAGCTGTTAGATGGTTAAGTTCAATTAGGAATCATTTTGTTGCTATGAATTTCTTGGTAGCAAAATGTCCCATGATGCCTATGATGATACATGTATTGCAAAACTGGAATGCTTAAAATAAACCATTCATTAAAAACCTGTGAAACTCACTCTCTCAGACTTGGTGTTTCCAGTATTATGAATGCTTGATTTTTTAAAAAGTTTTGTTTACTATGTATACAGTGTTCTGCCTGCATGTTATATCTTCAGGTCAGAAGAGACCACCAGACCTCATTATAAATGGTTGTGAGCCACCATGTGGTTGCTGGGAATTGAACTCAGGACCTCTGGAAGAGCAACCAGTGCTCTTAACCTCTGACCTATCTCTCCAGCCCAAATGCTTGGTCCTGTGTGGTCTTCTGTCTCCTAAGCCCTTTAAGTTGACCTTACTAGTCTCAAACCCCTTTCCCAAAATTTTGTGCTGCTTCTTTTCATATTTTTTCCTTATAGCCAGTGCTATCTACAGCCCTAAATGGCCTTAAACACATGTATGTGTGTGTTCGTGTGCACACGTGTGAATGTGGGCATATTGCTACATTGGAACTTTCGGCTTGACCCCTCCAAAGTGGAGTGAGTGGCCAGCAAGACTTATGGACTACTGTCCAGCCTGTCCACCTGAAGGACCTCGATGGCAACCAGGGTTCCCTCTCTCCCATAGTGGCCAATGTGCCTTGCAACTTTTGGGGAAGGTATATTCTAGAAGACATGGGTGTGGTTTTGACCACAAATGATAGGGCATTCTTTGATGATACCCTGATCCACGACAAACTCTGCCTCTCAGGGCACCCCTTTCCCACTGACCATCCAGAGGTATACCCCCAATTCTAAAGGCCACTGCCCACCACGAGTCCTTAGGAAAGTGGGTCCCTGACTCTATTGCCCTTTCTTGGCTCTCTGATAATGACATCTGGGTGGATAATAGAACCTAAACCAATGGCCTTAAAAGAACTAGTCAGGAAGCCACAGAAAAACCCTGTCTCGAAAAACCAAAAAAAAAAAAAAAAAAAAAAAAAAAAAAAAGAACTAGTCAGGGCGGTGGTGGCGCACGCCTTTAATTCCAGCACTCAGGAGGCAGAGGCAGGCGGATCTCTGTGAGTTCGAGGCCAGGCTGGACCGACAGCCTCCAAAACAATACAGAGAAACCCTGTCTTGTGAAACCAAAAAGAAAAAAAAAAAAAAGAACTAGTCAATGAACAACTCAGACCGGGACACCTAGAACCTTCTACTGACAGACACAACACCCCCGTATTTGTCGTCTACAAGAGGTCCAATCATTACCCGTTACTCCAGGTCCTGCATGCTGTAATGAACAAATGAAAAATAAAAGGGTACTACACAGCCGGCCTACCCCATTCCAGTGCCATCACCCCCCTTCTCACCACATCTTGTTTTAGATATGGAAGAATGTTTTTCCCAGATCCCACTGGCACCAGCAGACAAATGATGCTTTGTTTTCACAGTTTGGGAGCCTAACGTGCAGCAACCGGCCCAAAGATACCAATGGACAGTCTTGCACCAAAATGAAAAATAGTCCTACTGTTTCCCAGGCATTTCACAATGTTCCCAAGGATGTCCTTCTGGTCCATTACATGGATGACATCCTCCTGGCACATGCTGATGCTCAGTATCTAAAGAAGGTGCCCTTGACCCTCCTAGAAGATTTGACCTCCATCAACCTCCAGGTGGCCCCTGAAAAGCTCCAGCCTTTTCCTCCCTATGCTTTTCTAGGATTCTCCATAGCCTGACAATTTCTCCCCTTGTCTTTCAGCCTGACATCCAAGGACCAATACACCTCGGCAGAGCTCCAACAACTCCCTGGCTCTATTAATTGGCTTAAGCCGTTTTTGTCCATTATGGAGTAAGAGCTATGTTCCTTGTTTTCTCTTCTTGGGGGCCCTACCTGCGCCTCAGCAAGGATCAAGCTCACACTCGAGGCCAAAGAACCCCCTTCCTAGGGTTGCCTCCCTCCTAATTGTCACCTCCTTAGATACAAGCCTCATAGACCTCTCCTGACAATCACATTTTGGACTACCACAGGTATTTTGGGAGTCTTTTGGCAATCAGGCCCATTAATGTGGATGCACCAAATGTTCTCAGATCTACAAAAAAATCACCTCAAAACTTTAAATAGCCTTCTGCCTTGCCCTTAAGGCATGCATGCCACTTCTCATTATAAACAATTAATCCTGTGCTGCCTGTGTTCCTCTAGTTCCCCTGGGTCCCCTCTTTAAGGGGGGCATGAACCCCGGAGGGATCCTGCCCAATGCAATCTGGCAAATGGATGTCACTCACCACCCTGCCCCCATTTGGTAGTCTCTGCTATGTTCATGTCATGGATACCTGCTCCTCCTTCATATATGCTGTGACTCTCTCAGGGAGATAGACCGCCCATGTTATTAAGGACCTCAAATTGGAGTGTCAGGGCTATAAAGAATGATAATGACCCTGCTTATGCTTCCCAACAACTCAACAAGTTCCTCAGTTCCTGGAGGATAAGCCGTACCTTTGGCATCCCCTACAACCCTCAAGGCCAGGCCATTGTGGAGAGAACCCGTAGAACACGCAAGGATATCCTGGCCAAGTCTGCTTCGCTTGAGGCCAAACAGAAACCCCTATCTGGCCCTAACCCAGGCCTTATTCCACCTGAATTTTTTTATCTTTGATGAACTGGGCCTCAGCCCTGCTTATAAACACTGGGCATTCCTACTCTGCTGCACACCACTGCCTCTGGTTAGGAGGGACCCTGTCACCCTCCAGTGGCAACCGCCTGCCCAGATGCTTACTCAGGGGAGAGGATACGCTTGTGTTTTCCCACAGAGCTCAACAACACCCATATGGGTCCCCACCCAAGATGTGCAGCCAACCACTGAGAAACAGCAATGGGTCAGGGACCCAGCTCTTCCACAGCCCCCCCCCGCATAGGTGATGTGTGCCTCTCTTATACACCAGGCTGTACACGTTTTGCAACAACACGTGGATTTGCTCACGGAAGAAGTAGCACTTATCCATGGCAGGGCCTTGCTGGCATGCTACCCTCACTTCAGATCGATTTGCCTAACCCCTTACTGAGTGTCTAATATCTCCCAGGGCAGGACACAACTTGCCCGTTATATAAAGGGCACCTGGTTGGGAAAGTTTCTCAACTATTCTGTTCTCCTACAAGAATACATTTCCCATCTCAGTATGATGTGGGTACCTCCTATGACTTTTGAGACAAGTTTAACTTTAAGAGATTCCTCCATCCCTCCTGAATCGTCACATGTGCAGTAATGGGGGGCATAATACTATTAATATTAATCCTCCTCAAATGTCTCCTATAGCACATCAGATGACAATGGGCAACCAACAAGGCTACTCCTCAGATTTTAATGGCTCTTAGACACCCCTCTAACGGTCTACCTCAGGAGGTCACGCAGGCATGGCTCACAGAGATTCAAAGGGGGCAATGGCATCTTTAGGGGATCCTGAAAAGAAAAATTTGGGTTAATTGTCAAGTCCTGGGAGAGGTAGCTATATCATTTGTTGTTCAGTCTCTGTGTGGTGGGAAAGTGCAGAGCTTGACTCAAATCCTGGCTAGAGTAGTCTGTGAGGCTGGACCACCTCAGCCAGCCACCTCGAAATTTGTCCTGAGCAGTTTGTAGTCCAAAGCCAATCTTTAGGTGGTGTTTTTCAGCTTAGTGGTGTTATCATAGTCCTGGTGGAATTGTTGTGGGGCCTCATCCTCTTGTTGGAGACTTCAAATGTCATTGTCAGGCATGGTCTTGGTTCACTGAAGAAAATGTAAACATTTTAAATGTTATATGAAGCAGATTTCAAAGAGGTTAAAGGACTATAATTCATTATGTGTACATGGAGAGTACAATAATTTAATTCCTAGTTTCCTGATAGACATTCATGCACATGAAGTTAGATGAAGTCTTTTTTCTAGAATTAGTACTCTGTATGACCATTAATATCATGACAAAAAGTTTAAAAATATATATATATAGTAATCTTATAAATTTGAGATAACATATCTTAAGAAAAGCTATTAAAGAATCAAAATAAAAACCAAAGGATTATGAGATTAGTGACAATAAAATAGTCCCTGTTGTTTTTCTTCTGTCCCATATCAGGTGGGTCTTCTGAGATGAGACAGAGATTTTGGATTTTACTTTAACAAACATGCTTTGGTTTAGAGAAGGAGAGAGACACACTTACACTCCAAAGCCAGCTTTAATCTTTAATTGGACTGGGACTATTAAAAAACCATTTGCATTATATGTCTGTAGCGAACAGCAAAAACAAACATTTGGGAAGATTAATGAAATTTTATCCTGTTGAAAATGTGACATCAATAGACCAAACTACTCTTGAAGGGGGTTGTCCTTCTGAATGCTATGAATATATGTTTTTCTTATTGGTTGATGAATAAAGCTATTTCAGCCAATGGACAGGCAGGATGTAGCCAGGCAGGAAGTATAGGTGGGGCTACCAGACTAGGAGAATTCTAAAAGAGTGAGTCAAGGGGGAGATGCATGTAGCTACCAGGAAGGTAGAATGCCTGGACATTCTCTGGTAAGATAAGGGCACATGGAGATACACAGATTAATAGTTATGGGTCAATAATTAAGAGAGAGCTAGCCAATAAGAAGCCTGAGTCATTGGCCAAATAGTTTATAGTTAATATAAGCCTCTGTGTGTTTATTTGGGACTGAATGGCTGCAGGACCGGGCAGGACTGAAACTCAGTGTGTGTGTGTGTGTGTGTGTGTATGTGTGTATTATAGATACCAATGATAATTGCACCAGTGTCTACAAGACCTTCAATGACAACATCATTTATTTGTATTTTTAATTTGGTCTTTGTCCATTTATAAAAGTTTGCCAAGGGTTGGAGAGATGGCTCAGAGGTTAAGAGCACTGACTGCTCTTCCAGGGGTCCTGAGTTCAATTCCCAGCAACCACATGGTGGCTCACAACCATCTACAATTCTATCTGGTGCCCTCTTCTGGCATGTAGTTAGAACACTATCTATGTAATAAATAAATTTAAAAAAAGTTTGCCAAATTATTTGCTTTATGGTTTCTCCTGAATTTTTTGGTCTCTCTTCTATAGCTTTTCTGTAACCC